TTATGAATATTACAGGCCTTAAGATTGATACTGTCATGTATAGTTTAATATCAAACATAATATAAAATGGACCCTAAGCTATCCAAAATAACCAACTGCTGAACCAGTAGGACCTATACTTATTATAATATATAGGAAGTTTATTCAAGAAGTTTACGTGAAAGTTGATTGATTGTATGTGCTTATTTTTTCTTTAGGGCAAATACTTTGGTGACCGCCAGTTCCCTAACCAATACGTAATTGTTTTATAATTAATCAATCAATGTAATTTTCTTGACAATTGTTAATAGGGTTACAATATTTTTGTAATGCAGTTACGTCTATGCATTACGTCTATGCATAACATCTTACCTTGACAATGTAATATGACATCCACAATGTAAAATCAATCTTGTGTGTAACTTTACTTTTCTAGTAATTCATATGTTAAATGTTAATGTTATGTTGTACAATTAAATGTGAAGGTAGCCTTAGGGAGCTCAAAAGTGAACAACGATAAGTAATTTCATGACGTCCATAAATAATAACTTACATCTATATTGTAACAAGATATTTATAATGTAGCAATTAGCGTTGGTATTCTAATAAACAATTCAATTTATAACCTCAATATTATTATCTAACGTTGCACAAGAACCTTTGATGGTTATAATGTAATTTATTTAAACAAAGGCCAACAGTACCCTTTTTGTTAAGAGAAGTACTGCAAAATTTCCTCTATTAATATTAGCGAAAAAAATACTCGTACAATCAACCTAAAGAGAAAAGAAAAAAAAAACACTTTTACATATCAACAACAGTAATGTTGAGTGCAACAATAGTCAAGTTCAACACTAAAGTTAGGACCAAGAGTTCTTGTTCTTCTTCAAAACACTATTTTAGGTTTTTTTTCTTTTTTTTTTTGGCAATGAAAGTGATTTTTTAGGGAATTAATTTATTAAAGCTTTTTTAAAAGGTATAAGAGCTAGCTAGGTGTCATTGTATGGAAGGATGACCAGGACTCTGTGTCACCAAATTGGACTTATACCCTTGGTTGTTCTTCACATTGAGAGTTTTTTTTTTTTTGTCCACACACAATTAATTTATATTAAATAATTGATTAATTAAGGTTATATTTCTTATGATGAAAGGTACTTACGTTGAAAAGACATAATCATTGTCTATCTAATTTTCTTGATTAAAAAAGAATGATACGTGCAACATATAAGTCACCCCTTCAAGAAGCAGCCAAGAAATCAAAGAGAATTGAGCTGGGAACCATTGTGGAATTACGCGTGCAGTGCAAAGAAAGTTAGTGAGAACGATTGGTATTTGTTTATGAAGATAAGATAGTGATTAATAACTTTTAATAATAATTTTCCATTTTAATAATCTTCTGTTCTTTCTGCTATTTTACGCTTAATTTGTCATGATGTTGTCACCAACCGATATATAACGAGGTTAAGACTTCATTAGCAAATCAAACCCAAAGAGAAAAGTCTTCAAACCCTCTAAAAATATTCATCAAAAAAAGAAGAAGATGATGCAGTCTGAGATGAACTTTCAATCCTTGTGGCCCTACCTGAATGTCACAAATTCACCTATGGATACAAACGAATACAATGATCAGATGGCCAGCACTGAATTTTCTTCGATTTTCATGGCGTCTGACGAATTTTCAGAATCTTCTCCTTTTCCATTTTCAACCATTTTTTCTGGTGAATGTGAACAATTTGCGGACTGTGATAATCTCCTGCAAGCCACATCGATGGCGGCAGAGGAATTTCCGATGGAGTTGGGAGGATTCGAGCCGAATTTTTTTATCGATCAGTATGAAAATATGTATGCCTCATGTTTAGAAGGCAGTGAGGGAAGCAATACTCTTCCTTCACAGCAATTTTCTGTTGAAGGAAATGATGTGTGGAGTCCAAACTCCTTTGTGACATCAGAGGCATCCTCCATTGATGTGACCTCGGTTCAACAATCACTAACCCTACCAAGAGACGACATGGAAATTGACAACGAAGTGAGTATTCACCATCTGCTCAAGGCGTTCAGCGAGTCCATGGAGATGGGGCAGAGGGAGCTGGAGTTGGTTATAATGAGATGCCTTGCAGAGAAAGTAAACCCACTTGGTCAATCTCTTGAGCGCCTTGCATTCAACTTATGTCAAGGATTTGTTGATAATCAGCACGGAAACTATTTGAAACAAGAATCCTTCAATAATTTCGAGGCCGCATTCAACTTGTTCTACCAAATCTTCCCTTTTGGGAGGCTTGCTCACTACGCAGCAAACACTGCGATCCTCGAGTCTATCCCAGAAGATGTAGAGACGGTTCATGTAGTGGAATTTGATATTGGTGAAGGGGTTCAATTGTCACATCTGATTGAGGCTGTGGCAAAGAGAAACAAAACATTAAAAGTGACAGCAATTAAATGGGATGTGGAAGAGAGTGATGAGGTTGCTCCTCCACAGTGGAGATTCGAGGAGACGAAAAAGCAACTCCAGCATCATGCAAGGTCTTTCGGCCTAAACTTGAAGGTGGAGGAGATCGCGATCGAGGATTTGGTGAGCGAAATCAAGAAGGCGAACAAGAGAGGTGGAATGAGAGAATTTATAGCCTTCAACTCTATGGTAGGGCTTCCTCACATGAGGAGGAGAAGAAGCAGAGGACTTGTAATGGAATTCCTAAGGCTAGCTAAGGATTTATTAGCCAATTCAGCAAGAGGTATCGTAACCTTTGGTGATGGATATGCTTGCACGAAAAGGGGAAATGACTTGAGTTTCAGGTCCTTCTTTGACGTGAATGTTGTGCATTACAAAGCATTGTTAGAGTCTTTGGAATCGACCTTTCCGAGCCACCTAGGAGAGGCAAGGATGGTGATGGAGTTGATGTTTGTGGCGCCGTATGTGTCTTCTCAGGCTTGGCTCGATAAGTGGAACGAAGAACGAGAATGTGGAAATCTTCAGCCCTTGTTCGGGCTGGAGAGTAGGAGAGTGAGTAGGGAAATGTTAATGGAGGCCAAAGAAATTGTGGGGGCAGATAGCTCGTATGGAGTGAGAGTTGGAGGAGAAAATGGGAATGAGATGGCTTTGGAATGGAATTCAATTCCTTTGGTCAGAGTTGAAACCTGGACAAACGGAAGCTAACTAGAAATAAATTATTATTATTTTTTGAACTCTCTTTCCCAATTTTATTACAGCAAATGTGTAGATTGCTGGAGATTACCATAAGATATTTTTCTACAGATTCATATTGTTGTGAAAGGAAGATCAACTAAGTTGGTGGATATTTGGTATATAAATTTCACTCTAGCTATGACCCTCGCAAAACTTACATATCATCACAATCATTTTATGAACAGACAACAGAGTATCAATTATTTTAACAACATATTTTGCGATCATCATCACAAGTTAGAGTTGACGCAAGTTGTACCAACACATGGGATGCTACTGTGACGGTATTCTAAGCTGATAATGCACTACGAGGTGAAAATATAAATATATGACAGTTCATTAGCGTCCTAAAAATCTGCCACAATAGCATTTATGTACGTAAGCAAGTTTCTCTTCAAGTACTACAAACTTTATCAGCAGTAAGAATTTGACAGGTTTATCTACAATAGTCAAATGTTTGACATACCTCCGAAAACCACTAGAACTCGTTTGATGTCTATGATTGCAATGGCGGAGCTAGGAATTTTTTACCGGGTGAGCTAGCTTAAAATTTTATATCTTTATAAATAAAGAAATTTGATACCGTATTTTTCATAGTATCAGCTAGCTTAAAAAAAATCACAAGGTGAGCCAAAAAAATTGGTAATTAAACATATCCAAACTTGTACATGTACAAGAAGCGATGAGAAAAATGATGTAAGAAAAAGAGATGGTTTGCAAACTGTATTACATAATTTTATATAGTTAAACCTAGAGAATTCGGATGAGTGACTAAACATTTAGTGGGCTACATTCGAAAATCAATTAAAATTACATATAAAATTTTATTTTTCACCGAAAGCTACCTGGGAGCCCAGGGCAGCCTTAACCTGGCTCCGCCAGTGTATGATTGAATTGAATTGGACTGGATTAGTAGCACGCTATACCTTGAACCTTATAAGTTATCTAATCCATTCCAACCTCAGCACATGAAAAACACAAGCGAATATAAGGCTTGTGAAGACAGAACGAAGAGAATCGAAAACAGCAGATCATACATCGGCAAAAATAGTTCAACGACATGAATTTTACAATCAGCGTTTCATTTTCTTACTGAAAGAAACAAACCTAAAAATGGCAAGAACCGAAAGATCGACAATTGGTTTAACCACAAACATGAAGTTTGAACAATCGTCAATCGAGCACTACTCTAAACGTGTGTCTGAATACATATAAAAATCTGTTTGCTTATATTATACTAAGAACTCAAATGAGATAGGATCCTAATTCTAAACAATGCATTCTCGTTTGCCTGATTAGCTCCTCAATCGAAATGCCTACTTGAAGTACATGGAGATCTGCGGGATATCAATATCGTTCTCCTCATCATCGGCTCCTCGTACGCCACCACCTCATCAGAGTGCTTCTAATTAGCGGGAAGATCTGCCTTTGCAACACAAAGAATACGTGTAACATATCCGCCGCCACCTCAAGAAGCAGCCAAGAAAGCAAAGAGAATTGAGTTGGGAACCTTTTGTTGAATATATATGCTGTGCGTAAAAAACTGGTGAGAGCGATTGGTATTTGTTTATGAAGATAAGATAGCGATTAATAACTCTAAATAATTATTCTGATCATTCTCTCTTTTAATAATCTTGATACGATAGTGATTAATAATTCTAAATAATAATTCTAATTATTCTCCCTTTTAATAATATTCTGTTGTTTCTACTATTTTATGCTTAATCTTCTCTACATTGTCACCAACCGATATATAATGATAGTTTAAAACTTCATTAGCAAATCAAACCTGAAGAAAAGTCTTCAAACCCTCTAATAATATTCATAAAAAAAGAAAAAGATGATGCAACCTGGGATGTTTCAGACCTTGTGGCCGTACCTGAATGTAACAAATTCACCTTCGGATACAAATGAATACACTGATCAGATGGGGAGCTCTGAATTTTCTTCCATTTTCATGGCTTCGGACGAATTTTCAGAAACTTCTTTTCCATTTTCAACCATGTTTTCTGGTGAATTTGAACAAGTTGCAGATAGTGATCATCTCCTGCAAGTCTATTCGACCGAGGTGGAGGAATTTCCGATGGAGTTGGGAGGATTCGAGCCTAACTATTTAATCGGTGAGATAGAAAATATGTATGCCTCATGTTTGGAGAGCAGTGAGGGTAGTACTCTTCCTTCGCAGCAATTTTCTGTTGAAGGAAATGATGCGTGGAGTCCAAACTCTTTTGTGACATCTGAGACATCCGTCCAACAATCAATAACCCTGCCGATAGACGAGATGGAAATCGACAACAAAGTGAGTATTCACCATCTGCTCAAGGCGTTCGGTGAGGCCATGGAGATGGGGCAGAGGGAGCTGGGGAAGGTGATCATGAGATGCCTTGCGGAGAAAGTAAACCCACTTGGTCAATCCCTTGAGCGCGTTGCGTTCAACTTATGTCAAGGAGTTGTTGATAACCAGCACAGAGACTATTTGAAACAAGAATCCTGCAAGAATTTTGAGGCAGCATTCAACTTGTTCTACCAAATCTTCCCTTTTGGAAGATTTGCTCACTACGCAGCAAACACCGCAATCCTCAAGGCTATCCCAGAAGATGTAGAGACGGTTCATGTAGTGGAATTTGATATCGGTGAAGGGGTTCAATTGTCTCAGCTGATTGAGGCTGTGGCAAAGAGAAACAAAACATTAAAAGTGACAGCAATTAAATGGGATGTGGATGAGAGAGATGAGGTTGCTCCTCCACAGTGGAGATTTGAGGAGACGAAAAGGCAACTCCAGCATCACGCAAGGTCTTTTGGTCTAAACTTGAAGGTGGAGGAGATCACGATCGAGGATTTGGTGAGCGAAATCAAGAAGGTGAACAAAAGAGGTGGAAGAAGAGAATTTATAGCCTTCAACACTATGGTAGGGCTTCCTCACATGAGGAGGAGAAGAAGCAGAGGACTTGTCATGGAATTCCTAAGGCTAGTTAAGAATTTACTAGCCAATTCGGCAAGAGGTATCATAACGTTTGGTGATGGAGATGCTTGCGCGTTAAGGGGAAATGACTCGAGTTTCAGCTCCTTCTTTGACACGAATGTTGTGCATTACAAAGCCTTGTTAGAGTCTTTGGAATCAACCTTCCCGAGCCACCTAGGAGAGGCAAGGATGGTGATGGAGTTGTTGTTTGTGGCACCGTATGTGTCTTCTCAGGCTTGGCTCGATAAGTGGAACGAAGCAAGAGAAGGCAGAAATCTTCAGTCCTGGTTCGGGCTTGAGGGTAGGCGAGTGAGCGGGGAAATGTTGACGGAGGCCAAAGAAATGGTGGGAGCAGATAGCTCGTACGGAGTGAGAATTGGAGGAGAGAATGCGAATGAGATGGCCTTGGAATGGAATGGAATTCCTTTGGTTACAGTGGAAACCTGGACAAACCAAAGCTAGCTTTAGACTCTGCTGCTGTAGATTACCATAAGTTGTTTTCTGTATAGATTCATTACGTTTTATGTTGTAAAAAATAGTCAACTAAGTTGGTTAATTTTTTGGCATAATAAATTTCACTCTATGAACCTCGCAAAACTTACATGTCATAGAAGATTTTTACAGGACCTCCCTACATCTAGGATGTACTGTGACTGTACCTGAATCATTAACTCACTTCTATGAGCTCAAATGTTCCACGTGACCTTGCGTTTCGGCTTGGATACCGCACAGTTGCTCTCCAATTGCTAATAGCGGGCTTACAGAGTTTATCGGTAGTACTTAAAACCTTTTGACATGTCTCTGTATTTTGGTTGAAGAGTGATGGTGCTTGAACTCCCAAAAGGATGTCTTACAAAGCGAGCCCTCCCCATCTCAACTGCGCCTTCCCTCTCCTTCCTGCTGGCCTGACCCGGGAGGGGTCAATATCCTCTCAAGTCAGGTGTGCCAAGTTAATAACAACTTGAAGCTTTCAAAAGCGATGACATAACCTAAACTTTACCAGTCTCGTGAATTCAGCCGTGAAAAAAAGTTCACATCCTAAACTCGTCCTTGGGTTCGACAGAAGCCTCTACAGGCTTGTAACGGTACAGAGAAAGCGAATCGAATGCAAATGCCAGAGGTCAACTGATAAGTTTGACCCAAGTTTAGCGAATTTGAGCGAGACTGTACCAGAAAATCCTCAGTAGTGGAAAACAATAATACATATCCACCTTGTGCGAGTTCAATTCCCACTAATCCCTTTCCCCACTAACGCTATTGTTTAAAAAAGACCGATATGTGTGACAGTAAAAGAGATTCACTAGAAGAAAGAAGAAGAAAAGGCAACAAAAAATCAACTACAAACCGTACATCAGCAGAAAAATTCAACTGAAAAGGAAAAATAACAAATTTCACCACGTAACATTATTGGCAGAAATAAACAACCAACATTTGAAAAGTACAACTAGATGGACCTAAAATCGGCAGGAACGTAAAGACTCCAGAGACTCCAAGTTCGGAAAATCGGTCGGTGCTACTCTAAAGTCAACATATATTTGAGTACATATAAAACTCCGTTTGCTTATATAAACTTAAAAAGTCAAATGAGATGGGGAGTTCACGTCCTGAACATCGCATTCCGGTTTTGCTTGATGAGCTCATCAACTGAAACGCCTACTTGAAGTAAATGGAGATTTGCGGGATATCAATATCGTTCTCTTCTTCATCTTCGCAAGCCACCACCACGTCAAAGTGCTTCCTATTAGCAGGCAGTTCTGCCTTCGCAATACTCGTAGCCAAATCCACCATGGTCCTGTCCATGCGCTCCTTGTGCTTCGGGAACATGCTGTTAAAGAGCAGGCAACTTCCATAGGAGATGCTGTACGCGTTTAAGCCCTGGTCTTCGAGCCACTTGAGGAGCTGCTTTAAAGTTGGGTTGTCCTTTATAATCCACCTGTCCCATACTGTCCACTTCATATCTTGGTGCTTGATGACTTTAGGAGGGACTGGTTCAGCCATGGAGAACAGAGGAAGGGAGAGATTGGCAAAGGTGTTTCGGTAGTCTTCAACCTTGTGCCCTCCGTCCAGAACCTTGTACAGCTCCAAGCAAACAAGGCCGGTTGCCAGAGCAGTTGATGTTGCAATTGCAGGAATGATTCTTCCTGCAATGAATTTGGCTTTCAGTTTGTCGACTTCACCAATGCCATAGTTCCTTGCCCTCATATTTGCAAATCCAGCTATTAGGTCCATATGATAGTTTGTATCATCATCCTGCATCAAAACATATCAAAAGCGCCACGTCAGTTGTGGATTCATGATTCTCTGGGAAAACGAGAAAGAAAAAAAGAAAGTCGCCACTTGTAAACTTTTAACTTTCACATACTTTTGGCTCTAATTCAAATGGATACGATAGCATCATACAACAAAAACCTATCCGAGGATATAGCACTAAGCAACCAATCCCTCCCCAAAATCAATAGCATTGCATACAATATGCTAAACGCACACCCAACTAAAAACGATTTAAGTAGTTAAATGAATTTATCAAACTCCTCGTTGATATTTAAGTTGATTTCCTTATTAGGGCAGCTATAATTAGTTCTGCAAGATTTAACAGTCATGTACTTCCGTACTTCTACAGAACATGGAGAAGACCTAACAAGTTTGGGAGATGCTAATACCCTTATTCAAAGTTTCATATACATTGCTTATTATCTGCATCAGCATGTTGTAATAAAGAACTTTACTCTTGCACATGTAGTATGTACTATGGTTGCCCTAACGCTGGCTCCAACATTTTACCTCACACACGCTACGATACATGGAAGTCACTCTATCTCATAAGCCGCAAGCCTGAGATGAACAAATAGATACAATGTCTACGCATAATTTCTACGTAAAGAGAAAAGGCTGAAAAACAAACCTTCTCAAACTGAATCGGGTTCATCTTGAAGCCTGGTGGCAGCCGCTCCTTGCATCTTTCTAACTTCACAACTAACTCGTTGATAACCGCAGCATCATCAATCGATGCTGGTAAGACGGTTGTAGCTTTCTCATCAGTCTCAATCTTCACATCTTTCTTAGGCTGAAAATCCGGTACCATCACTTTGTTAACAGCATCAGCAAACTTTGCACGAGACTTGACCCAATCAGGAATTGGAATGTTGAATGTCTCTGCTCGTAGTATAGATGCTGCCATTAAAAACTGGAGGTGGCTGAGATCATCAACTGAGAACTGCAGTGGGCGAGGAAAACGCTTGGGGGCAGACCAAAATGGTGTCCCACTACTGGTTGTAGCATCCTCAGGAAAAGTATAAGTTAACTGCTTCACACGGTTAGCAAAGTAGTCCTCAAACCTGTTTCCATTAAGTACAATTGATTAGATACAGAAAAGAATATTATGACTACATGAAAATTTAAGAAAAAATGATAAACAAGAACTGTACTTCAGACGGGCCCAGCTTATGCAATCTTGGAACGTCTCACATCTCTCTTTGTCAAGGCATTCAATGACACTTTCCAAGTTGTTCCTGGCCTGAGCATCACCAGCATTTTTCATTGCGGCAATGTATTCATTAGGATTAGTCAGGTAGGCATTTACTTCAGCTGGCACCTTCTCAAGTAGACCCTCAAACTCAGACCGGGCCCATGTCAAGCAATGGTCAATGTTGTGAGGGAATGAATGAACTGTGCACATGGGTGCTTGCTTTTCAGGTGGGTCCCGTGATGCTCCATAATTTTCAGTCAGGTGAGGAATGACCATCTGCGTGTTGCACTTGGCACCTAGAGTTCCTGACTCCAAAAGTGGCTTCTGGAAGTACAAGCATCTCTGATCAATGTAAAGCCTTGCATTCACATTATCCAGAGCATTGATAACAACATCCAAATTCTCCCAAAAAGTATCATCAAACACATTTTCAGTATCTGGGCTTGCACGATTCTGCAGTGCTTCAATGTTCAGACGACCATTTATCACCATAGCAGCAGAGGCAGCTACTGTTGATTTAGCCTGCCCAATGTTCCAATCTCTAAAGAGAAATTGCCTGCTAAGGTTACTCTTCTCAATGACATCATCATCTGTTATTGTTAACTTCCCTTCTTTACCACAAGAGACACCCATCAATGCTAAATTCTTCAAAAACTCACATCCTAGTGCCCCAGATCCGACAGTGAACACTTTTGTGTCCTCCAGCTTTTTCTGGAGCTTGGCTCCAAATACTGAAATTTGTGCATCATATCGGCTATTCAAAGGCTTCAAATCATTAGGATCCAAGGTCTCTGAAGGAAGGGATTCAACTGAATCGAAGTAGAAAAACTGTCCACGAGGCAAGCAAAAACAAGGGTTAATTTATAATGATACAAACGTAAACCTAATGGAGTCAGTTAAAGATTCAAAACAAAAAAGCAGTGTCAACCATTCTTGCAAAGAAAATTCAAGTTGGTTTTAGTAATTACCTGGAAAAGAGGATGGAACTTAGCAGAACAGGCCTTCACAACTTCTTGTCCAACAATACCACCAAACATAGCAGCCATGGGATTTAGCACAGCTCTAGCACCAAAGGCAAAATGACGAAGAACCTTGTGGTCAATCTCCTCAAGCTTACCATCTGCTGAGCTATCATTGATGTTAGTTACCATAGATATGAATTTTGTAGCATCATCCTCAGATCCAGCAACAGGGAAACGCCCCAACTCTGAAATGAACTTATCTAGTGCCTGAAATGCCAAGTGTAGGAGAGGTGGGCGATCAAACTTGGAGAAGTCACTCAGAAGGAAGTCACCATGATCCTTGAGTGCTTCTCGCAGAGGCTTAAAGTTCAACACCTTGGGTTGCTTCACCTGTGAGACTATACCCCCTTTCTCATATGCAGCATAATTGGTAGTGTCCTCCTCGATTGTGAATGAGTAAGGTCTTGCATTCTTAACCTTCCTCGGCTTTCCATCATTCAACTCGGTCATTCCATGGACTTCGGTGAACACAACTAAATCCCCATCCTGGAACTCAAGCCTCTCATCATCAACACATGCTATGAGAGCAGGGTTGTCATTACTAATCGATGCAATTATACCTGTATGCGGATCCTCACCATCAACATCAAGAACAGTGAACTCAGGGCCAAAGTCACAAAATACGCTGCCAAAAAGGCCTCGTACTTCTGATTTTATAAAAGAGATGGGAGGGTTATGATTATGGCAGTAGTCATCGAATTCAATTGCCTTCTCCAAGCTAATATCAGTGAAAACTACAGCCTGCAGAAAATTGAAATACAAAGCTAAAATACAGTTATCTGCTGAATAATTAAAGTATATAAAACAAAAGGACAGTACACAGCTCCAAAATTTACAGGAAAATTCACTCGGAATCCAGCTTAACAACAATATCAGTACTTGTTTGGCCAAATGCACCTCTTCCCAAAAGTAAATCAAGTCCGTCTATTATTGTGTGTTAGTAGATAAAACACAACCATACAGGAAGAAAACCA